TGTTCAAGATATTATCATATACTAATGAATGAATAATGTGCCATTGCTCACCCAAATATTGGAGTATACCATAATTCTATCGATTATGTTTAAGGTATTCAAGATATTATCATATACCAATGAATGAATAATGTGCCATCGCCCATCCAAATATTAGAGTTGACCATAATTCTATCGGTTATGTTTAAGGTATTCAAGGTATTATCATATACCAATGAATGAATAATGTGCCATTGCCCAGTCAAATATTGGAATTTACCATAATTCTATAGGTTATGTTTAAGGTATTCAAGATATTATCATATACCAATGAATGAATAATGTGCCATTACCCACTCCAATATTGGAGTTTACCATAATTCTATCGGTTATGTTTAAGGTATTCAAGATATTATCATATACCAATGAATGAATAATGTGCCATTGCCCATCCAAATATTGGAGTTTACCATAATTCTATCGGGTATGTTTAAGGTATTCAAGATATTATCATATACCAATGAATGATTAATGTGCCATTGCCCATCCAAATATTGGTGTTGACCATAATTCTATGGGTTATGTTTAAGGTATTCAAGATATTATCATATACCAATGAATGAATAATGTGCCATTGCCCACCCAAATATTGGAGTTTACCATAATTCTATCGATTATGTTTAAGGTATTCAAGATATTATCATATACCAATGAATGAATAATGTGCCAATGCCGACCCAAATATTGGAGTTTACCATAATTCTATCGGTTATGTTTAAGGTATTCATGATATTATCATATACCAATGAATGAGTAATGTGTGATTGCCCACCCAAATATTGGAGTTTACCATAATTCTATCGGTTATGTTTAGGTATTCAGATATTATCATATACCAATGAATGAATAATGTGCTATTGCCCACCCAAATATTGGAGTTACCATAATTCTATCGGTTATGTTTAAGGTATTCAAGATATTATCATATACCAATGAATGAATAATGTGCCATAACCCACCGAAATATTGGAGTTTACCATAATTCTATCGGTTATGTTTAAGGTATTCAAGATATTATCATATACCAATGAATGAATAATGTGCCATTGCCCACCCAAATATTGGAGTTTACCATAATTCTATCGGTTATGTTTAAGGTATTCAAGATATTATCATATACCAATGAATGAATAATGTGCCATTGCCCACCCAAATATTGGAGTTTACCATAATTCTATCGGTTATGTTTAAGGTATTCAAGATATTATTATATACCACTGCCAACTGAACACATACCCTTGGACGTTTCATCTGTGTGAGAGCATGAACATTTATCATTCCCCTAGTCAAATATTTCCTCAGGTCCAAGTAAGGATGCACAAGTCTTTAAATCTGAGTAATGCAGAATTACATGGTTTGGATGTATCTGCGGCTGATCTTATATAAAACCAAAACAATACAGCTTGGTTCAATTCTGTTTATACCGAGTCAGAGAACATTCCGAGCAGAAAACGATTAAATTTTGTGAAAAGCTCCCCAAATTTCCTCGCTCTCAGGCTCCCAAGTATTCTAGTAATCTTATACCGCACATTCATTATTCCAAAACTTCTCTCGAGGCTAGTTTTCGTTTGGCATAATCTTCTGATGCTGGCCATTATTTGCAGGGATAGAGTCCACAAGTCGATTGGACTTATTCCCTCCTGAAGCGATTTCCGAAAGCTTCTCTCAATCGAAGGCTGGCTCTTTGACCCATTAGTCTAAGCCATCCGCGGAGGGCTCAAAGGCTAGGCTGTTTAGAGGTGCTGCCATTGTCGTGGCAATGGTTTTCATGTGCCACTAGTTTCCGCAATCCCCACGACGCATGGGCGCGGAGCTGCTATAATGCGCTTGGCCGCACTCACTTCTCCTTCACTTCACTTCGAAGTTGATCGACCCTCACTCCTCGTGATTGGGCCCCTTGGCCCCTTTTTTGCTGCTGATTGTTCCTTCCCTGGTCCCGCTCGTGTGCCCATGTCCTGGACCAGTACCTTCTCATACTTTGAACAAGTGATATGTTCCACTTGACTCTCTCATTAGCCTGGACGTGACTCCAGCTTCTGTCTCTGAGCCGGCAATCACGTGGTCCCTCAGCTCTTGCTGCGGCCTTCGTGAATTTTCGAACTTGTCGCCAATTCTTGGAATCTTTACTTTACTTCTGACGATAGGATTCTTTGAAATGTCTTAATCTTCTAATGCTGATCTCTATTCTGGAAGTATTTAAACCTCTCCTAGTGTACTTATTAGTTGAGGTCTTCGCAGAGAGTAGTTGGTATTTTGAGCACCTCGAAAAGAATCCTCGGACTTGCAATCGTATTCGAGAATTGGCGAGAGGTTGTAGGTATCACAGTCACCATCTCAGCAAGTATACTACGAAGAGCACTACTCCGGAGCGCCAGCATAGGAGCAGAATTTGATGGGCGTCACTCCCTGACGAATCATTAGTTAGGTTGCAATCTCGGTGTTATTTGGGTTTCAAAATGAAGGTATGGATTTCAATGTTTCTCAAATGCTACTTCTGCTTCTGCTGCTTTCAGGTAGTTTTTAGCTATAGTGCACAATGGAAAGAGATGTGTGGCTTTGATCCTCCTGCTGTAATAATAACCCCGAGTAACATATTCCTCAATAACCTGAGGAGCCCGTCCTTAGCTCTTACGATCATGCCCCAATTGCAAGTTTTGTACCTAGCGACTGAACTTCATATTTGGGGGTGGTGTGCTCCAGTTATTCGGGTGGGGTAAGAATAAGGACCCGCAGCCACCGGTGTTGCAGCAAACCAAGAAATCAGGTGTGCTTTCCAGTTTAGTCCATTTTATCTCGAAAGCTTGAGCTTGGCATTTGTTGAATTGATACGAGTTCGAAGTAATGTGTTTAGATAGGGTCCCAATCTTAAATTCGTTCTTGGGGTAATAGAACACTCGGGAAGTTGCGCTACACAAAGTCGTTTAAGCAAATAACTTGGTATCATTGTACAAGTGATATGCTGGTGAAGCAACGGGCATAGTATGTAAGCTGCAAATATTTTTCAATTCCCAATTCTAGCAACTTAGAAGTCTTTTCCCTTGTCTTCCCTAAGGAACAGTTGAATCTGCTTGATCTGTTGAATAGTTCTCACAATCATAATTTGATGTCCAGATCCGTACGAAAGGAGTTGCGATGGGAGAGATCGAGGCACAGCAAGTATGAGAACAATCGTTGCTGGGATGAGCATCCGAAGGCGACAGGGGGTTTTTGACGTGGACAACAGGGATTATCTCCACGGCGGCTTAACCACAAAGTCTAAGGGTAGTTGCATCGGTGATCCGGATTCCGGCAACAAGATGGAAGATACAATCCGGTTTGTGTTCAGCCACAAGCGGGAAGGTCTGCTTGCTATCGGGACATTCGCCTTGGAACATCTTCAGTCCATTCGGAACACCATTGACGTGCACCAGAAAACAGAGGAAAAAGACGCATGCGAGCCTTCCACCTGCGCTTCAGCGATAGAGACTACCGTTTCAGACGACCAAGAAAAGTTGCAACGAGGCTGGTTAATATCAAGGAAAGTGAGTAATTTGCCGGCGTTCGGAGATGGGACCTTGGGAGGGGAGTCCGAAAGTGAAGAGCGTCACAAGAGGCTCGATCAGTCTAAGGCCCTTATCCTCTGCAATAACGGGAATCGGACGCCAGATACGCGTATGAAACCCATTGTCCTCCTCACATCGCTGCCACCCGAGCTTCGAAAGGAATTTGATCTCGCCAGGGCTACGCTCTACAGCCAATCGCATTTATCGAATCTCGTTGTCCACTGGACCGACTCTGTGCCACCTTCAGTGCTTGACAGTGCCGAGGGACCCTCTCTCGTCGACGACTTCTATTCATCTTTTCTCTGCGGGCTCTTCAGCTCCAAGAAAAAACCTTCTAACTCTGACAAGACGTTAGGTAAGTGGTCAACCCAGAGAGAAATCGAGCCTATACCTGGCGAAGAAAAGAGACGCATGATTCCCATTGAGCTTGCTGAGATGGAATTAATTAAGAAATCCATCTTTCAGAGCATTGGATCCGCTGGAATGCCATCACTTAACAAGCTCGCGAAGCTCTGGAGGTTGACGTGTAAACAAACTTCTGCGAGGATAGCCCCCGAAAGGAGACCAGTCTCACGACCTACGCTCAAGGTAAGCAAGCTGTCTGAACTAGTCAATAATTCTGGTTTTATCGCCTCATGCACATCTCTTCACCGAGCCCTAGTGCACTCATTAAGATCAGGCGAAGTATATAAAACATACTCTTCATGTTCCTCGTCTGACATCGGTTCACGGTGATCACCAGCAATGTTGGATTAAGAATGCAGTACAAGCACCCCTGAGTAGGTAATCACACAGGATCTTGTCAGTGGAGGTCTAGAACAGCGGAATTTTTTACTGCTTGTGGTGTCAACGCTTCTGTTCTGAAGTCTTTCGAGAATGTTTCGTGTCCTGATCTAGGGCCCGCAGTGCAATCCACATGAAGAATGTTCTACTACCCCAGTAGCGCAGCCCTTGAGACCGACAAGCCGGGTTTCTGACGACGAGTGCAGGCAGAAGGTTGAGGAATTTAGAAGACGAGTGAAAATGCACGAGAGGATGACAATTGCTCCTAGGGAGCCAAGTGCCGAATGCTCTCCAAGTCACGACGGTTTGGGACACTGGATCAAGACCGACGAAGATTGTAAGTTAGCTTCTTTGTCTTTCAATGATGACGTATTCGAATTTTGTGGGTGTATAAGACGAGGGAAAAGGTTACTGAACTTGTTTGCGTGTGTGTTTTCCTGCAGTTGTTGTACTTGAGTTGTGAAACAACCACATAAATTTCTCAAACAGGAGCGTTTCCACTTTGCCAACTTAATTGGGTCAGTAATTACCTTGTCGATGCGATTGGGAGCGCTAGCCACTCGTTCGACTCAAACTGAAGCGTTAATGGTCCGAATCATTTCACTAGAATCCCGCTTTGTTTTTGGTTTGAATCAATCAATGCACTCCTAACTGAGTGCTGTACAAGACGATCGGAAGTTGAGAATTTGGGCATGCGAGCATCTAATGGCTTTTTAGCTTGGGCTCAAAATCCATTCCTTAGCAATCGAATGAGAGAGATGTGACCAAGGTCTACGTTCTGTTTCAGAACCTGCATTATCCGCATCAAATTCTCAATCTGCACAATCTCAATGCTGGTATGTTTTTGAACTGATCAGCTGGGCCAAGTCAAGTCATACGTACTGCCGAGAGGCATCTGCTGGACTCATCTCGAGCCATTTGTTGGCCCTTGCACAACTATAACTTAGCTTTGCATCAGTACACTAAAACACTTCGACCAAAGTGTACTTTACTTGAGATAGCTGGTGGTATATCATTGATCTCACAAATTTTCGTTTTTTTCTGCTAGACACACTAGAGCTTGTTTACGTCATAGACCATACTTCAAAATTGCTGATGGTGTGTAAGAATTGTACATAGAGCTATTCATTTTCAGGCGAAAACAGTAACGTGTTGAATAGTGAGATACTTTTTTCCGTTCTCAGAGTGCCTACCTTATAGATTCTGAGATGGAATCAACTGCATCGTCGGTGTAATTTTGGTATTGTGTGCGCAATAAAGTTTGGATTGTGACGTTCAATGCATTTTACAGAATTTAGTGCGCTTGCTGTCGGAGTCCGCAAATATTAACTTGCCCTTCTTACTACTGCATCCTAGCATCTTCCACGTGCTTGTCGCCAATGTAACAGTATCCTGGTTGTAAGCACAACAAATTGCATAAACGGTAACCACAATACTCATTCATGGCAGATTGTATCATAATTGTAGAAAATGCAAGTTTCAAAGCTTGTAAGCACAACGTGGCATGTACTATCCTTGAAACCTTCTCGAGCACACTGTAGGTAGGTAGACCTATTCGTCCAGTGATGGAATCCTCACAGACAGCCCTAACTCGAGACGCCTGCACAAATAATAACTAGCTGCTCGATCTCTCAACAGCCCTATTGTTATCACCACCAACAGCAGGGAAAGTCGTAGAAATTTAACTTAGGTCCTAGTGAGTGCAGAATGTAAAAGACTTCAAAATACTCGATCACATCCTTCCCATGGATGTTTAGCTTTGCCTAGAACAGATGCCAATATGCCACTGCGAATGTCCTCTTCCCTGCCTCAAAAGATTGATCTGACGAGTGACACCTAACCGCATGCGCAGTAGTCCGAGAGTTTGGAGATGATCAATAGTTTAAAGTGCAAGAGTACTTTAAGATTGTTGTAATCTCTTCTGTATACAGACAGCCTTCATATAGCCAGACCACATGAAAGAGTAAGAGTATGCAGCTCAGCTCGCTGTTTGGAGTTGACTGCCGCATGGGAAAGTAAACACCAATTGTAGAAGGGCATGAACTTGGTACTGCAGCAGTGATAATGGCAAGCAATCAGCCCAACTTCCTTAAAATTCTATGCTTAAGCGTCAGCAGTAAGTTTCACAAAAACATCCACTATCTGTGTTTTAAGCATGTACTCTTTGTTCGCAAATATCAACTCTCAAAATCATAATATTGTTCCGAAAGCAATAGCTGTGCCTAAAGAAGCAGTCATTGTCGGTAAGCAGCAGCTTTCGATCGTTCAAATGGAGCTTCTAAAAGTGTCTCCTTCACATTCTTTGAAGCATCCGTGGTCCATACAGTATAAATCCGGTTGTAAATCAGTATAATCTTAGCTACAAACTTAATGGGGTGACATTAAGAACCATTGACACGTGGAATTGTTGCACTCTAAATCACTGAGATTTATAGATTAGTTGACATTGAGCCGGTAAAAATACTTACAACAAAGTTTTAAGGTTTTTGGCAATGAAACATCGTGACATTTGTAACTTCAAAACAGTGTCACGGTGCGCAAAAGCTTCCTTACTCGCTCTTCACACGGGGGCTAAACCTTACACCCTAAATTTAGTCGATGAAAAGCTCTAATTAATGTCCCATACAGTTTGACAAACGTACAATTACAGAGTATAAATTCTAATTACAACTTTCGATACTTCATCTCTACGGAGACATCTGATAGAATCGGAATAAGCTGCACCGTTGCGTCCGGCCCCTGCTCACTATCGACTTTTTAAAATTGATGTACGGTTCAATTTTTTTCGAGCTTTTATGTGTGAGGATTTGTAATGCCAAGTGAACGAACTTTGATGAGAGGGAAACAGCTTCATCGTGGCAGAAATGATACCAAGAGGAAGAGGTTTGAGTTGGGAAGGGAAGGCTTAGTGAGCACGAGAAGCCAAAGATTCCTCCTCTTTCGAAGTGTCAACCATGGCGACCTCCCTGCTGCGCCCGGCGTTCTCTCCCCTCGTTGCCACCGTTGCAGCATCGCCCTCTCTTAGATCTTCTTTCTCTTTTGCACCCGGCGCACTGCAGTTGCGTTCTTGCCCACCTGCGTTGCGGACCTTGACGCCACGGCAGGGCCGCTTACCATGCGGCGGCGTCGTTGCGATGGCCGGAGAGTTGGCTAGAGCCCAGCCCGTCTCCACTCCTGAGGTTTGTCTGATGTCTTCGTATTCTCTCCTGCTGTTTATGTGATCCAATTTTTACCTCGCTTCTTAGTTTGAATATTTTCAGAAAAAAAATTGAGGAGTGATCAATCTCGCCGGTTTAGGGGAGCTAGGAAAACGGAGATGTTCTTAATATCTTCTCTTTTCCCCTTCTGCAACGGTTTTTGAGTATTTGCGTACCCGACTTGCACATTGCAAATATGTGGAATCCCTCCTTGCTCGCAACTGCCCGATGGACTGTCATATATTGGGATTAGGTTGACTTACTGGCGAATTATGCGGTTGCTGTACATTTTAATGAATCTTATGAGTAATATCATGATCGGAGAATCCGGTCTTTAGCATTTACATTTCAATCTCGATTCTCCTACTTTCCGATTTTACTAGACAAGTCTGATTGCGACTTTGTCCTTGTGACTTTTCTCTCGCGATTTAGGGTTTAAGCGATTTATCGCACAGTATTGCTTTTATGATACAATCTAGGCGTACATGAGTGTCTGTTTTGCAAAATTTACTGCAGTCGGTTGAAGTACGAGTGAGTGTTGAAGTACTGTGAAGAACTACCAGCATGAGTGAAATTGTTCAAACCAGTCGCCCGGTGATGCAGGTAGAAGCGTTTCTAGATACATTGAAATGGGATAAGAACGGCCTGGTGGTTGCCATAGCTCAAAATGTGGATACAGGCGCAATACTCATGCAGGGCTTTGCCAACCGGGATGCAATATCAGCCACAATAGCATCCCGGCGTGCCACATTTTTCAGTCGTAGTCGCTCACAGTTATGGACGAAAGGCGAGACTTCCCACAATTTCATTCACGTACAAGATATATCTATCGACTGTGACCGAGATTCCGTGCGTCTCTTGCTCAACTGAACTTTTCTCTAAAAATATTTCGGCATTGGCTTTGGGCAATGCACGATTCTTATGTTCTATTCAAGTTCTATCGTCCGAGCCATTGCGGATGTATTTTGTACAAAATGGGGATTCAAATTGACAGAGTTTATTTTATTGCACATGTGCTTCAGATCGTATATCTAGGACAGCCTGATGGTCCCACATGCCATACTGGTGCGGAGACATGCTATTACACTTCTGTACCAATGGTCTGTATCACTCATTTTGCTTTACTTACAGTATCCTAGTGTACAAGGGATGATAGTTGTATCTGGTTGTATTGTATGGACTTAAAACTGGACGTTTAGATTGTCATGACCTTGTTGTGCCGTTGCAGTCACGGAGAAATCACTTTGCTGTTTTGGCGTGGAGTACCTAAATTCTTAAATTGATTTTTTTTCTTTTTCCTTTTTGAAAAAAAAACAGGACGAGCCAAAATTGCTTGCGTCGACCTTGTATGCATTGGAGGAGTTGATTGCCAGACGAAAAACTGAGGAAATTGCCCCTGGTGCAAAACCGTCTTGGACAAGACGACTACAGCAAGATCCCAAGTTGTTGTGTTCCAAAATTAGGTACGATTGTGTCGATCGCATTACAACTTCTTTTTTCTTTGCGGAAGGCCTTCGAATTATTGATTTATAAGTTCTACTTTTTGTTCTGATTATGTATGTTCTATAGAACTACTCAGATGACTACTTCCAAGGGGGAATTGATTTGAGGTGGTAATTTTAGTTGTATTCATTCCTCTTTACAGGGAAGAAGCATCTGAACTGTGCCAAACAGTAGAAGCATCGGAAGGAATGGAACGCACAGTGTCGGAGATGGCAGATCTGTTGTACCATAGCATGGTTTTACTGTCTGTCCAGAACGTCAAGTTGGAAGAGGTGACGACTGAGTTACGAAAACGTTTCGGTCAATCAGGCATTGAGGAGAAAAGCAAGCGACCGCCCAAGCCAACTGCAGGTTAGCAATTTTGTATCACTTAAAGCTCCATCAAAAAATGCAGCATACGGCTGTAAAGATCTACATGTATGTCGTCGTTGACATGCCCGCAAGAAGGCCAGGAGGACCAAGGCAATATCGTGTTTACCAGCAGTACATTGAATAGTGATCAGCTGAAGGTGGTGCACTGGAGTTAGATAGGTTCGTAAACCCTTGGGATACATCCTGTCTTGTAGTAAAATCTTTTTGTGGCTGTTACTGTTTGTTTTTTCTCATTGTTTCAAGCGATAGTTTCTATAGTGGGTTTCTCTTCCAGATCGTCGGTGTTCGCCAATGGGCGCCCTTGAGAATTTAGATTTATAATCAGCCAATTTCCTTTGCGTCGAGTACATTTGCGTGTGGTCACAGAAAAACTAGTCATTGAGAAACACTGTTACAGAGTTTCTGCATCCAGACCTCTTGTGAGTTTCGAGGTCTAGGATCTTGCCTCATGTGCTATCTGCTTAAGGATGGTTTTATGATTGTGCAGAAGTTGTCTTCAAAGTGAAACAACTTAAGTCAGTTTTCTGAGCACTTAATTTCTCATCACACCTTAACAGTGACAAAATGGTACAAATAGTTCTGTAATGGAATGCATACTACTCAACGTGAGCACGTTTCGTAATCCCCAATGCCATAACAAATTCAAGATGCTCGTGTTATCACTCGGGAAAAATTAATCTAAAAAAGCAATTTTCAAAGTGAATTTTAGCCATGTACGTTTTATTTATTTATTTATTTTTTTTTTTGAGAACTGACGTCGGAAACTTATCGCCACAACTGCACAGCTAGCTTCAGTTACAACAACTCCCTGACTAACAGCTTTTTCCGCAATAGTTTAGGCAGGAAAATACAGTTGTTTCCGGTAATCAATCGGTGGCCTGCTGCTTGTCGTGGCTATTGACCAAGATTTTACGTGACACATGTTCTTTTTCCTTCAAAAACATGGCCCGCATCTTTGCTCGGCTGGTTTTCTCCAACTGCCAGTGGCTTTCGCTGATTGATTTTGGCAACTGTTCCAGCAAGCAACCCCAAGAAGGCCAGATCAGCCGAATTTTCGATGCATCTGGGCCCTTCGCTACATCGACGGGTGATCAGCATCTCTTACTGCTGGCAGGGACCAATGATGGGAAATGAGACAAACTAGGGTTTTCTGCGAAGTCTTTCGCTCTGTCAATGTGCCCTTCCAACCGAGGTCGCTCATCGAAGGGACCAAACATATCGAACTAGTTTCGTTGCTCACCTTTCTTAGTTTTATTAGATGTGACCAGCGCGGTGAGCAGGGAAGGTGAGGCCAGTGAAGGGTTAGCAGTGCACAATGTTGAGGACAGCGGGACGAAGCTTGTCGCGTGTGCTCCACACGACTGTGGCGCAGCGCACCCACGGAATCCCGCCCGTACCCGTTCCTGCGGCTGGTGTGCTGTCCTCGCGGAGATGGTTCAATGCCAGTGGTTTCAGTCTTAGTGGCCATGCTGCATCTGGTACGCCCTATGGTGCACCCGTCCTCGATTTGCAGGCTATTTTGAAACATGAACTGTGGTCCTTTTCTGCCGTTTGAAGATTCTGATCGTATTCGATGATGAAACGCGCGATTTCGAGGTCATCAATCCGAATACCTGCAGATGCTGCTTTTCTGCGATATGAGTGGTAGTTGGGAAGAAATTTTAGATTTTCGGTAGGCGTTAGGTATTTCTAGCCTTCAATACACTGAGATTGTGACTGGCAATTATCATTTCAATGGCATGGTTAGTGCTGTACCCCATCTCGGAATCCGGTTGTCCCCGAAACATATTTGGGAACAATTCTAACTTCAATCTTAGGGTATGTAGTGTGCTTGCCTGCTATCTCTTGGAACTTACTTTCTCTTTCGAATGTGAGTTTAGTCTTTCATGTATTTCGATTTTATTTCTTGTTGAATTCATAACATAATTAAAGAGTAGGTCAATCACATTGTGTGTCCCAATTACATTGAAGTATCAGTCTTTTCCAGTTCACAATTTAGGAAGAGACATGCAACTTACCGGCAGAATTGGAGTTTATACGGTGTGGTGGACAGTCTTAGACCTTTTTCTGGGTATTATAGTGATAATTGAAACTGAAGTACAGGTGACGGTCTAATATCAACCAGTATATCATAGAACCACTGTTATTTAGAGAGTGTTAAAGAATACCCTTGTATGTGATGCTAGGTCAATTGGATGAATTTGGGATTGCAACCGGAGCTGAGCGGGAGGAGCTGGAATATCAGCGTCAGGTCTGGATTCTATCACTGAGTATTGTTGCATTTGGCGTTATTCTGTCTGCTAGTGTCTTTATTTACCTTTATGTTTGTTTTTCGTTTTCTGTAGGGGAAGAAGCGGTTTGATCTCGATCCTCCACGCGGACCTTTTGGCACTAAGGTAATATTCCTGCTCATCTACGTCCAGAGATTCATTTTATTTCTTGTCCAGAAAGTCTGCTTTGTACTTTCCTATTTGTATTTGGTCGAATGCGTGAGAAATATTGGATGGAGGTGAAGTAACGCCTGCTACTGTTATGCTTATTTTGTGAACTTGCACCTTGTTATCAGGAAGCTCCCGCAGTCATCGAATCAAACTACGATGAACGGGTTGTTGGATGTTCAGGAGGCATTGGTGGTAAGTATTTCTGACGATCTCTTTGTAATTGTTGGGTCAAAATAATAACCTAGCGAACGTTCAGTATTTACACTATATTTTTAAGAATCTTTTAATGCACATAATATAAACACAAATGCCTGTCCTGTGCTTGCCTTCCGCTATGGTGCATGATATGGCTATTTTATCAATTTGGCAACAGGAAGAGATGCCATTGGCTTAGAAGTCGATCCGGGTGTTAGTTGCTGAGGTAGTTACGATTCAATTTTATTTTAACTTATTCAATCTGTAACTTATCTTCAAACTCAACTAAGTTAAAACTTAAACAAAATCATTTTGATGCAGAGGTTCTAAGCAATGGTTATTTAATCCAATCAAGAATTTGACCGACAATACCTGCAGCAATTGTCTAATAGGACCTACCATCTGTTCTTGTCCCAGGAAAGGAACAATTGCTGCAAGACCGCAAGTAATTTGTCGCTCTATCTCAACAATCTCACCTTTTCCTATTGCGGCAGCTAATGCACTTCTTATTTTGTTCTATTGTGTGAACAGAGGATGAACATGATGTGACTTGGTTCACTCTGGAGAAGGGCCAAAGTTTCGAGTGCCCTGTTTGCACGCAAGTTTTCGAGGTAACCTGCACTATCTTATATTTGAGTTTAAGATTGCATTCCATTTAAGAATATCTTCTGGGCTGCAGTTGTTTGACCATATTTTTCGTTGTTGATCTGGGTTGTTCATTCTATTTGCTCATCTGCCCCACTGCAGTTGGTTTATTTGGAAGAATTCCTCCTGTAGTGTTATACGACCAAATTTTTAGTGGCTTGCAAGTAATTGGGTGACTGTTTGTTTTACAGTTGAAGGTGATAGGACCGGGTGGAAAGCCTGGATCTGATGAACATCATTAGGAGCTCATCAAGCATTGATCACGCTGTGTGGTCAAATGGTGTGCTTACTCAAGTGAGAGGCTACATAGGCAAGTTTGGGCAGATATTTTATGCTCTGTGGAGCCTTTTTCTGAGCAAGTTCAGAGGTCTTCCTGTCCTGATGACCTTACAAGTTTCGACGCATTTTTTAGAAATGCTTAGGTTGAAATCAATGGAGTATTTGATTATCACATCAATTCTCCTTTTTCTGCTGGCACAAGGTGGGTGCTGTCTTCTGTCACGTAATAAGAAAGCTTCAAGTTGGATGTTGGGGGTTTTCCGGAGGTATCTGTCTTATGCCTCCCCCAATCTTTCGTAGTTCAGATCTATTGCTCGTTGATAATTGGCCGTTGATTTTTTATTACTATACTCTGCCATAACCTTATTCTCAACTTCTGAAACATGGTTTACTCTGACCTTCACTCTATATATTGCTCTACTATTTAGAGGGAACGAAGATGCCTATCTACACATTCAAGCTCAGTGCATCGACCTTAGTTCTCCATGTAACAGTCCATTATCAGTGCTGCTAATGGCCAGAAATAATTACTCATCGTTTGGGCATCACTGTTAGATTTTTTTTTTTTTTTAATTAACGTTTCTTATAGTCTAGCTTTTACTAGTTGACAGTCAAGTTTACAGCTTAATTAGGTTTGTTCGCCTTATAGAATATGAAAAACGTTTGTCAACAAATTTTTTTATAATTCAGAGTGCTATGATGTTATCAGCTCCGAGCTGCTGAAAAACTTAACCTAAGCAACATTGACGCGTGTCAAGGGGCATTAAGCGAGCATGTAGATTCCATTCTTCATATTTAGCTCAAGTATTGGTGGATAACTGGGTAGATATGTGCATTAGAAGAACTGTCGATAGATAAAAAAATTTATGGTTTTCAGGACCTTGTTCACTTCTTCCTTAACCTGTCGTCAAATCTGATCCGGTCCAAACTGCCTCACCTCGACAAATTTTTACTGTATTTCAGGGTAGTCATCAGTCTTGGAAAGACTAATGATGTTCGTCACTGCCAGGTTGACCACCAACTCCCGTAACCTTCGACTGGTACCAGAGACATTCCCCTGACACAAAATCAGCTAAGTGTTACTTTTCCAAGCATGACTATTTTTAAACGCCAATTTTTTGGGTTACCTGAAAGAATCACGGCATAATTCGTGAATAACATCCTAACCTTGGTGCCGAATGGTCCACGAGGAGGAGAAAGATAGAACCGGGATTTGCCCTGCACGAAAGGAGCACTCTAACACAGTCAAAATTGATCCAACGGAGCACTAGCCATGGTTAGTTTTACGAGGCTTAGAGATGTAGTCGTTACCTGCCTCTTCCATTCCAACTCCTCCCGCTCCACTCCAGTTGCAATCCCGAAATCGCCTGACAATGAGACACAGAGCCACGGCTTTTAGCACTCCTGATAAAATTTGGTGGCATCTTAAAATACGTTCGAGTCAATATAGGCTGTCATGTAGCTGGATCAACCAATTTACAAGGTTTCCATGTACACAACTGAGATCTTTCCTCCATATTCAAGCACAGATTCGAGTTAGTCGCTAGTTCTACCTGATGCATTTGGATTCTGAATCTTACGGACGAAGATCCTCATCAAGTACGATGTTTAAGGAGGAACCAGACTTGAACCATTAACAGTCATCAAGAACGAGAGGTTTCTTTTTCTGTCATCGACTTGAACTTTCTTCATTCGTAAACCTTTGAGCACCTGAGGAACATTTAGACACTACTCTTCGAGACTTCCAGCTACAGAACTACGAAATGTATTTCTCTCGATGTTGTATACCTCCATTTCGTCGGTTCCACTACATAATGTGCAGATTGCCTAAGATTAATTATATGAAAATGTTTGTCTCCACATAAAACCTCTTTTCCGGCAGCTGAATTAAGAACCACCATGACTGCATTCTGACTTGGTTGAGAACCAGCGATTTAATTCCCACATTGGAGACCGATGAACACCAATCGAGTACAAAGGTACAAGTTAAACATTCGTAGATATCGGTGGTACCACTTCCGCAAGCAAACTCAAGGTAATTGATTACTGGTTGAACACCCATTGTGCGGAAGCAAGGCCAAAAATTAGGGCTTCTTTCTAAAACCAGCGACATAGATGTAAGTCCTGGTATACAGTCTCCAGGGGTGGTGCACATGCTTTATCAATTGAACCAGGTTGATAAAGCATTTGTTTCGTACTTCCAACGAATGTATAATTTACTGCATAGAATTAGTTAAACCGTGGTGAGCAACTACCGTAGCAGTCACCAGTGTCGTGAAGACATCTTGGTGAGGAGAGCACAGTAGCCACCGAAGCAGAGCCGGAGTGGCCGGGCTGTGTTAGAGACGTGCAAAGAACACGCGACAAGCCTCGTCCCGCTATTCTCAACATTGTGCTTGCCGAAGGTTGTGTCTCTCCCTCCCGAACGCAGCTATCAACGTTCTCTTCGTGTGAAGACCCACTCCCAAGGCAAAATGTCGAGAATTAAGAGAAAAAGAGGAAACGCACACGCACTCACAGTTCCAAATTCACTGCAAAACAACCAACAACCAGGTCTCGCAGACACAATACGACAAGGAGACGAGAGAGAGAGAGAGACCGCGACGCCTTCACAATCGTCGCCATGGCCTCCGTATGGTTTTGCTTTGGAGGGCGTGAACACGAAACGCTTCGGGATGATTTCTAAAGTGGATGAAGCACGTTCGTTATTATTGATGGCTTGGATGCGAACCCTACGGATTTCTGAGTCGCACATCACTAGAATTTACATACGTTCCAATATAAATATAAATATGTATGTATGTATGGGGAATGTTAAATAGACCCATGGTTTTACTTAAGAGACCCACCTTTGATGAAAAATATGGTAATTATGATAAATGTGGTTGGTTTTGATTGGTTGTAGATTTGATAGGGACATAGTTCTTAGAACCTTCTAGAGACAAGTTTCTAGAACCTTCTAGAGACAAGCTTCTAGAACCTTCTAGAAGCAAGTCTCTGGAATCTTTTAGAAGCTTCTTAGTTGGTAGAAGATGTTAGGGACATAGTCCTTAGAACTTTCTACAGATAAGTTTTTAGAACCTTCTAGAAGCAAGTCTCTGGAACCTTCTAGAAGCTTCCTAGTTGGTAGAAGTTGCTTGAGAAGCTTCTTAAATAGGAGTATATATTGGGATCGAGGCTGAAGAGTTCTTCAGTCTCGACAACACATCTCTTAGAGCTCTAGCTCACCTCTCTGGTGTTGTTCTTGTATTCATCTGATTAATCTAGTTCTTGCCAGTTCTTCTTGAACTTCTTGGTAGATATCAAGTCTGTATTCTGTGTCCGTGACAGTTTGTCGAGACTTCACTCACCTCAGATATCAGAGCTAGTTTCTTCTTTGTTAGAGTGTGGATTACTCCTCTGCTTGGAAGTGTACTAGCACTTTAGAGGTTGCGGATTACCCTCCTCTAAACTGATACTTCTTTTGTTACAATATTGGAGTCTTATTCTTCTTGGAAAGAGTGGATTACCCCTTTTCTTGAAGCTCTTAAGGCATTTTAGAGGTTGCGGAGTACCCACCTCTAAACCAATATTGTCTTCTTGTAGAGTCATTTCTGTCGTTCTCTTAGAATGGTCGGGGGCCAAGACATTAGTATGACGGAAAGTTCAGAGTCCAAGTTAGATGCTATCATGAATGCCCTCGCTACGTTATCGCAAAGAACTGCAGAGATTGAAGGAGTCGTGGCAAGGCTTCATAATGATGGAGCATCTGGGATGGCACAATCTAGGTTGCACCAGCCTCAAACTTCTATACTTGGAGAAGCAACTTTGCCTCAGGTTCGACAAGCACCGCTGGTTCTACAACATAAGAAACCCCGAGTTAGCCTTCCGGACAAGTTCGATGGTACACGTTCCAAGTTTCGAGGATTCGTCAACCAAATCAGGTTGATAACAGTTTTATAGCCCGAACGCTATCCAACGGAGGAGTCACGTGTTGGGCTTGTTGGAACCTTACTTACAAGACAAGCTCTATCATGGTTTGCTCCTTTGTTTGAGAAACGATCGTCCATATTAAACAACTTTGAAACCTTTTTGGAGGCATTTGTGGAATCATTTGGTGAACACGACAAGGTTCGATGGGCTACAACAAAGATCCGGTCACTACGACAAAGGATGCGTTCTACATCAGTCTATGCATCGAACTTCAGGCAATTAGCATGCGACATCAATTGGGACGAAGAAGCGTTGATGAGTCAATTCTATTGGGGTTTAAGGGACGATGTGAAGGATTTGCTATTAAGTCTTCCTGATCCGCAAACGCTCAACAAAGCTATTAACCAAGCTGTGAAGTGCGATAACCGCCTATTCCAACGTCACCAAGACCAACGTTCAAGACAACATACGGTTCGCCACACCCCAACTATGTCGGCAAGCAGCGTGAATTCACATTCAGAGGTAGAAGACATACAAATTGATGCGGTACGTGTCAAATCTCTTACTCTAGAAGAAAAAAAGCGGTGTATGGAGGAAGGTCTATGCTTGTATTGCGGTGAAGAAGGCCACAAAGTTGGAAACTGCCCCAAGAAGCAAAATCGACATAATATCAAGACTAGGGGTGCATTTATTCAGGAAAACGAGGATGCCCAGCCACAATAGGAACCGTGCGGCTGGACAGTGAAATATTGCAATAACAACCAGGTTCCTTTCTTTCCGCTCAACCTGCCCTTTGTTTTACAATCTCTTTGCTTATTGGCCCTCAGAAACTGAGAACCTTAGCATTATTAGATTGAGGAGCATCTGCTTGTTTTTTAGATGGAGAATTTACAAAGTGTCATAAGATCCCTTTAGTACAAAAATCCAAATCTGTTCACGTTGAGGTCATAGATGGACGACCTTTATTGTCTGGTAGTGTCACCCATGAATCAAAACCTATAGAAGTGACGTTTAAGGACCATAGTAGTCATATTATTTTCAATATTATTAGAACTCCATCAAATCCTGTTATTCTTGATCTTTCCTGGTTGGAAAAGCATAACCCATCCATAGATTGGAAGTTGCAGAAGATGACCTTTCCCACAAAACCACGCAAGAGCAAGCCTAGTAGAAAACCCCGAATAGAGAAATCCTTATTTATTAGAGCAAGAGCATTTATAAGATTGTCCAAGGGAGGTACACCATTTGTCATTTATGCGGCTCCAACTACCGGAGAGAAGATCTCGACAGTAAGTATACCGGATCAATATAAGGATTTTAAAGACGTGTTTCAAAAGAAAAATGCCGACATGCTACCGAAACACAGACCATATGATTGCGCCATAGACTTACAGGAAGGAGCACAACCGCCTTTTGGCCCAATCTACAATCTATCGCAGATGGAGTTGGCGGAGTTGCGGAAGTACATCGATGAGAATCTAGCCAAGAACTTCATCCGTCATTCAAAATCGTCAACTGGAGCACCCATCTTATTTGTGAAGAAGAAAGATGGCTCGTTGCGGATGTGCGTGGACTATCGAGGCCTCAACAAGGTAACAAAGAAGAATCGTTACCCATTACCCTTGATTTCTGGTCTCTTAGAACAACTTGGATGTGCAAGGATCTTTACAAAAATTGATCTAAGGGGAGCTTACAACCTCGTACGAATCAAGGAAGGAGATGAGTGGAAGACAACGTTCCGTACAAGGTATGGCCATTTTGAATATAATGTCATGCCTTTTGGTCTTACCAATGCTCCAGCGGTCTTTTAATATATGATGAATGACATTTTCCGAGAGTACCTTGACGATTTTGTTGTCATCTATTTGGATGATATTTTGATATTCTCCAAAAATAAGGAAGTGTATGAAAAACACGTTCGTTTGGTATTGGAGAAACTACGCGAGCGAGGACTATATGCCAAGTTAGAGAAGTGTTTATTTCATCAAATAGAGATGGAATTTCTGTGGTTTGTTGCGACTACGGAAGGCTTGAAGATGGACCCCAAGAAGGTGGAAGCAATCGTGTCTTAGGAGGTTCTGAAGACAGTTAGAGATATACAATGCTTTCTTGGTTTTGCCAACTTCTATCGGATCTTTATCAAGAATTATTCTCAAGTTGCTGCTCCTCTTACTTGGTTGACATGCAAGGATAAGCTAGAATGAGGACCTCTAGCAGAGAAGGCGTTTCAAAACCTGAAGACCGCATTTACTACGGCTCCAATCTTGATACATCCAGACTTTACAAAGGCCTTCTATTTAGAAACTGATGCTTCGGATTTTACTTTGGGAGTTGTACTTTCACAAATGGAAGAAGACAAGAAGCTCGATCCGATTGCATTCTATTCTCGAAAGTTCTCTGTTGCTGAAATCAATTATGAGATCCACGATAAGGAACTTCTTGCTATAGTGGATTCTTTCCAAAAATGGCGTCACTTTTTTGAAGGAGCTGCACATCCAGTGACCGTATACACAGATCAATAGAATTTGGAGTATTTCATGTCGGCTCGAGTTCTAAATCGACGTCAAGCTCGATGGAGTATGTTGCTATTTAGGTTCAATTTTATTATGACTTATTGACCTCGAAAGCAGCAAGGACTATTTGATGCCTTATCGAGGAGATCGTATCTTGTACCAAAGGCTGAAGAAGCAGCGTTTGATCAACAATGTACGACATTGTTGAAGCCAGAGCAATTTCAGCTTTGCGCTACTATTATGCCAATTGATGCTGACTTTCTGAATCAGGTACGTGCCGTAACCATTAAAAATTTAGTAGCCATTGATATTAAGCAGCGTGCCAATGACGACAAGTTCAAGGTGGAGGGAGATCTTTTATACTTTGAAGAGCGGTTATATATCCCAAAAGGACCAGCACGACTCAGAGTTCTTCAATCTCGCCACGATTTTCCAGCTGCGGGACATTTTGGATTCAACAAGACCTTGGAGCTTATTTCTCGAGATTTTTGGTGGCCCCAAATGTGAAAGGATGTGAAAGATTTTTTCCTCTCCTGCGACATCTGTTCAAGATCCAAGAATCCTCAGCATCGGCCTTATGAACTCCTACAGCCATTGCCGATTCCACGTCGACCATGGTCTTTAATTTCCATGGACTTCATCACGGACTTGCCATCATCGAACTCATTTGACAACATCTTTGTCGTGATAGATCGGCTTACAAAAATGGCACAATTTGTCCCTTGCAAGAAGACATCATCCAGTGAAGTTACAGCAAGGCTCTTTCTCGATAATGTGTATCGATATCATGGACTACCAGATGATATCGTATCAGATCGAGGAACCCAATTCGTATCAAATTTTTAGAGATCTCTCTTTGAGATACTGAAGGTGGATATCAAGCTTTCTTCGGCTTTTCATCCTCAAACTGACGGTCAAACAGAACAGGTGAACCAAGTCTTGGAACAATACTTACGATGCAGTATCAACTATCAGCAAGACGATTGGACCACATATCTGCCGCTAGTCGAGTTTACATATAACAACACCCTCCATGCGTCGACTCAATGCACACCATTCTTTTCTAACTATGGGTATCATCCAAAGCTTGATTTATTGAGTCCATCAATAAATAACAATCTAGCAGCTGTAGGATTTGCGAAACAACTATCAGAGCTTCAAAATACGTTGAAGCTTCAATTACAATCCGCTCAAGAATCCTACAAGGCATTTGCAGATAGATTTCGGAATCAAGCACGTACTTTCAAAATTGGAGATAAAGCATGGCTTCTTTGACAGAATATCAAGACCAAGCGACTATGTGATAAGTTGGACTATTGAAAATTGGGACCATTTATCATCCAAAAGCAAAGCAATCCAGTGGCGTACCGTCTGGAATTACCGGCTTCTATGAAGGTACATCTAGTCTTTCATGTTTCTTTGTTGGAGCCTTATCGAGAGTCATCTTTTCCTGGAAGAGTGCAATGTCCGCCACCTAGTATTGA